TAGAGCGCCGCCATGCCATGCCAATGATTGCCATGGCCATGGCCAAATTCTTAGCTATCTATCTATCCACTGCGCTTGTAATATTTGAACTCTTCACCGCAAGCCTGGCATACTCCTTCAGCTGTGCCCACTCGAGCAGTCATTCTACGCATCCAGAGTCACCCGCTCTGCAACCTGCCGCACTCGCACCTGGCTCAGGGCGCCTAGGCCTCTTCCGGACGAGCCTCCGCTCAGGCCTGGCCATGCTCTTGACGAGGCCAGAAACCTCCGGCCGCACGGGGACGCAGTGCTCATACGGCCGCACCCACGCATCGTAGTACCCGTCAATCGACTGCGAAAGAGGCACGCAAATTTTACGCCATGATCACCGCAAGCGCATGCGACGCACCTTGAACACGAGCGAGCCAGACCGCAGGAGCCTGGGGTCGAGAAACCGCCCGGAGAAGGGGAAATCCAGTGCGCCATGTCCTCCCGGGACCATACGTACCAATCCAACTTTCTGAAGGTGCATGCCAGTGTCCCTGCGCAGCCACGCGTCCGAGAACGCACTGCAACTGGAATTCGCACATTATTATTGACAACTCCTGAACTAAGGACCCTTACAAGATCGTGTACCGGCGCTACGCCGGCCTTTTTTTCTGCGTTGCGTCGATGCGAACGACAACGAGTTCACGGAGCGATCCACTTCTTTGTCGAGGTGCTCGGTGCGGACACCTTCGGGCCCCTAATAGTAATCATCCTTTACTGTGCCACAGTCTACAGATTCAATACGAAGTTCGAAAACGTCAACGAACTCGACCTGGTGTTCAATATCTACAAGGCAATGCTTTTCATTTTGTTCTACTGTTCACTGTCCGCAAGCTGGATAGGAACTGTTGTGTGAGAGATGGTTGCGCACTGGCTAATCGCTCTCATAAATTCCGTATCTGAAATTTTAAAATATCTCGACATCTACCCGATCATGGTTTTGGTTATTTACTATCCAGACACACGCAAAACCCAATAACTTCCATCTAAAAAAATGTGAATAATAAATTAGTGATTTAGTAAGAGCTTTTAGAAAAACTGGAAACTACAAAATTCCGTTGGAAAATAAAATCTCATGGAATGGTAAACTTTCAGCTGTCATAAAATAAAAGACTTTCAACAAAGAAAGAATGGCCAGCTGAAAGACAACCTTTCAACCCGCCTTTCAACATGATTTAAAATTGTATGGAAAGGTGTTCATTCCAAATCATGTTGAAAGACGGGTTGAAAGGTTGTCTTTCAGCTCTTTGAATGATACACCTTTCCATACAATTCTAAATCATGTTGAAAGGCGGGTTGAAAGATTGTCTTTCAGCTGGCCATTCTTTCTTTGTTGAAAGTCTTTTATTTTATGACAGTCAAAAGTTTACCATTCCATGAGATTTTATTTTTCAACGGAATTTCATAGTTTCCAAATACTTTATTATTCACATTTTTTTAGATGGAAGTTATTGGGTTTTGCGTGTGCAGAGATAGCAGGCGTGAAGCTGACATTTCTTCGCTTCATCTCCGGCATCATGCCTCCACGTTCCCTCTCGGAATCGCAGATTCCGCGATATATATCCGTCGGACTTTTCCCAATGACAATTTTTCAATTATCGTGGGACCTGGTCGTCTCTCTGACGATAACGCACCGCAATCGATGTGCGCAGAAATCCGACCACGACACCGCCTCTCAAATAAACTCTGTCAACTGCTAGTGCTGATTCAGTTCTGGGCTGGCACTTAAGATCTAGAACTGCAGTGGTGGTATCTGCGCTCTGTCTTCCTCAGTCAGTCGAGCTGTTTTGCAGCCAAAGAACTAATATCTGGCTTCAAGATGCTTCTGATCACAGTTACGAGAGTTTCACGAGTCCAAGCAAGGGAGAACCTGCGATCTCTTGTATACTAATACTTACTCAGTGTCCGTCATGTGTAGCAGGCCTGTCTTAGAGATAACTCATAACTATGAACGTGGCGTTCCCTAGGCCCAAGTTGGCAAGTCCAAACTTACTGCACAGGTCTATTTTGTAGCCAGGGGCCCACACCAGTGACCGCGCAGGACGGCACAGCTACTCCCGGCACTCCATGTCGTGCAGGAGCTGGCGTTTCGTGTGTGAGCGCAGCCCGCGGCGGCATCGCACAGGGTAACTGCATATGGCGCGCCCTCGGCGCGAGCACTGGCTGTAAAAACGAACGTCAGTGACAGGGATTCCAGACAGGTACGCGTTCCGAGAGAAGTGCAATCAGGTTGACGTTCGTGAGAAGAGCAGAACGGACGAGACCGAGGCCGATCTCGGTGAACATGGACAGCGACTCACTCGCACATCTTCATCCCGTCCTTGCCTCTGGCCTCCGTGACCCCATCGTCCGGGGGCGGCCGGCACGCGATCTTGCGCCCGCGGCAGAACAGGCACGCGAGTGGCTTGCGGCCTCTAGGCCGGTCCGACCCCGCCCTGCCGCAGTTTAAGTCTTCTCTGTCGGGCGTGAACCGCACGGAGAGAATTCCCTCGAGTGGCGGCGGCGGCAGCTGCGCGGCGGCGTAGGACCCGGAGGCGGAATGTGCTACTGTGTAGGCGGCGGAGACAGGCCTGAGTGAGGAGGGCTCCGGTTCGCTCGCGCTTGCACCGGGGAATGCAAAGTGGTGCCTATCGTAGCGCCGCAGCCCAAGCCCTCGCTGCGGCGGTGGCGGAAGCGGCGGCCACGGCACGCCGTGCGTGCCGGCACTGGCATCATGTAGGGCGGAAAACGCAGAAAGACTGTGCAGGGGCGAGGACGCTAGTAAGGATGCGAACTCGGACGTTCCACCTCCTTCGGGGTCGAGTAACTGGTCGGCGAGCGCGGAGAGCTCGTCGTCGGAGTCGCAAAAGGACAAGTTCATGTTCAAAGAGGGCTGGAATACGGGCCAAGCGAATCAATGGCGACGACACGGGTAGTGCGACGAGGGCTCACTTCAAGCCCATAGTAGGGTAACGTCTCGTGGAGCGGCCTGACAGTGGGCTCTACAAAGTGCGTGTGCGTGTGTGTGGATGCGGGAGTCAGGTGGGCGTGCCCGTACGCGTACCGTGGCCGCCGGTCAATTTTTGACGCTCTGGCCAGCCTGGAAATGGAGGCGACCATTGACTCGGAAGTGGCATAGTCATTGACATGTCCGGTCTGCGTCGGTAGCATACTTGCGCTGGGTACTGAGAAAGTGGATGGCAGGCCGCTCGACGAGTCACGAAATTAATGCAGGTTTTTATGGAGGGTAGTTGTCCGGATCTTGAAGTTGGATTCACATTGAACGGTTATTGTTGGATTACTTCGCGATGGCAGACTTGCCATATCATAAGCCAGCAGTACATAAAAGCAGTATCGGCACAGTTCTCGTGTCTCAGGGTCGACCCTAGAAACAAATCACATCTTGCAATGTAGATGATATATCTACGTACGTATCAACATCGTAGCGATATGACGCACCGCGGTTTGTGGGTGGGGGAGTGGGCAGCGGCAGCGTGAAGCCGTGGGGAGAATGACAGACAGACGGTGAGCTTGCTGTGTAAGATACAAGAGCTCCGAATTCCGAAGCGAAGTCCAACCAGGCCATGCGCCGACTCCGAGTCGGACAGCCGGTGATGTGCCAATCCTAATACCCCAATAAAGGAAAGAGTGTCTGAGTGCGATACTGCACTCAGAGATTCTGTTTTTGCTTGCTTTTAGTACACTGCGATGACCTCTGAAACCCGGTGTTCGTGGGTCGGACCGTGCCCTACCTACATACCTACCGTGTTCCTGGCACTGTTTCTGAATGCTGCGGCTTCGGACGATGATTGCGCACGCATCCAGAAGCGGAATGTTCTCTCAACCTCACTCTTGGTCGCCCATCTCGTACAGGCTCGGGCACTCGTCACCGTCCAATACAATAGGATACCTGCGACGGTGGCGCTCATCTTCCTTCCATTTTACCTTTGCCCACGCACAGCCGAGCTGAGACGCCAACCGACACAGGCACAGTTTCAGCCGGCGCATCCTTTCCGACATGTCATCCCGGCTGCCATAAATAGCTTTTGCTGCTGCTAAAATCGCGGCGGGGTATATCATTTTGCACAAATGTTGGATTTTAGTGGCTGTGCGATACTATGCGAGCTGTTGTGTCCCTAGCTCCCATCGGACTGGCAAGGTAACCCGCAACTTAGGCTCAAGTCCGTCAGATGCTAATTTTAGTAGTGAAAGTTCGTCATATTGCATGATATTTTTGAAAGTTCGTCAGATTGAACAAGATAGAGCACGTGATGAAATGTTGATCTGACTCAGAGGAAGGCAAGCACAAGGCCATCTTGCAGCTTTTGAAAGATCGCTTAAGTCCCCTGAGCGATCTTGTGGAAGTAGAAAATCGGCTAAGTTTTTGGACATATTGAAGGACAAGTAGAGTTGGACCTTGAAGGTCCAGACTAGGTTTGATCCAAAAAAAAATTACCTTGTTAATGCTTGTCAAAGGGCCACTGGGGAACCGGATGAAAAAGGTCGTCTGAAATAGATCTATATCCATCATTTCATGGCAAAAATCCAGTGGCTTGATATGTGCCGGTCAAGAGCGTTCAAGCCGCCATATACCAGACCACGTGACTACTAAATTACCTAATTTGGTAAATATGCGGTGACGTGGTCTGTTCAGTGTTAAACGTATCAAGTCGATTTTTGACCCTCATGGATATAAATCTATTTTCAGGCGGCCCGTTTTGTCCGGTTCCCCAGTATGAGGTCTCTACCAATTGGTCCCACCCATTGATCCGATGAAATCACATGATGCTGCTGCAGCTGCAGGCTCAATTAATTGTTGGGAGCGCGAGCAGGAACTGACGACACCGAAATTTTATATCTTCCCCTTCTGACGGAGTGCGAGCTCTCTTTGATTTAATTACATCTATTTGTATGTGCATAAAAAGTGAAGTCTTTGTCAGTGTGGCTTAGAACCTAGTTTCATAATATTGATTAAATGGCCCGCGGTATTCATCGGTTCGATGGTGTAGTTGGTTATCACGTTCGCTTCACATGGTTAACCCAAAGGGTAGTGATTCGCGAGAGGTCTCCGGTTCGATCCCGGGTCGAACCATTTTGCGGGTATGACTTTTTGTTTATTTAATGTTTTTGATTTAAGGTATCTGCTCGAACTACGTTTTTTCCACTGCTGCAGGGAAGGTACCGTTGCCACGGTAGGTAATTGTGAGCGTAGTGAGCCCACTATCACGTGCGAGACAGAAGTGGGGCAACAAATTGTAACAAACACGAAACTCAGATGGATCGCTGCGCGACCTATCCAAAACTCAGTGCGGTTCTTCCTCTCACCCCATGTTTTTATGTTATTTTGTATTTTATTTTGATAAGAAACGAGCTCCAAGAAATTAGTTGGTACATTTTTTTTGGTAGCAATGAACATGATTGCCAACTTAAGGCTCAAACAGCTCTGTGTTTCAATTTCCTTTGCAATTGCCACTCAAGTCACCACAATAACATAACCTTCCAACTCATTGCAACCGGGAAACACGATCTCTGATTGTCAGATGCGAGCACCCGGCTCGACCGCGCATCCATATTACATACTTACATAAGGCAGCATCAGTGACGACTAAGGTTTCACAAATTGACGCCTGCATATCCTCAAGTGAAACTCATATTACTTCGTGTACCTAATCCTGTGCGCGACCAGCTCAAAATTCGGCTGGTGTGTAAATTTCTAAAACAAGAGCACAAAAATCTTGAGAAAGAAATATTCTAAGAGTCTAAGTACACCGCGATGTTTGGTGCAGCGCGCGACAGGCAGGGTCGCTGGGATATCAATTACGAGCCAGTGCATCAGGGGGCTCACTGTCACCGACGTCGTCGGCGAGGTCAATCTCCGACTTCAAGCCGGCAGTTGAGGCCCGATCACTTATAATCACGGCAGATCGACTATCACTTGATTGACTTGTGATTACCACAACGGAATACATAGCTTACCTATTTACTGACAGATATCTTCTGAGATACTCTATGTTCAAACTCAAGATAGTTCAGATATACCACCTACCTTCTATGTTTGAACAGGTCATGCCACCCCAGCATATATTTAATATTACAGAAAACACAGAGCGTTTTGACTTTTCAGTTGTTTGCCGAGGCAGGTGTGAGGGATAATTGCCGCTTAGGCTCACGGCGCGGAAAGACCGAGGTTGCATCATCGTGATGCCATGTTGACGTCTGTTATACTATCGCCGCGTGTTCCTCTCATCACCGTCCATTCTCCGTCTCGACACCCCTTTCCTCAACCTTCATAATCTTCCACGTCGCGAGTCGTGTCGTGATGACGCGATCGGCGGAGAACCGGATATTCCGCCAAACGTAATTTCAAGCCTGCAGCGTTTCTCTGCCAGTGGCGCGGCGGGCGCCCGTTCATTACATACCATTTCGCGTCCAGACATTACTGCACCTCGGAAGAGGGCTCCTTGCATAGCCATACCAATGCACCCAAACCTCAAGGCCAACATAACCTTGCAACTTGTGGTAACGCTCACGTCTAGATCTCGGATGTCACTAGGTGATTTGTATGCATTTCCATGAATCGTATTTTTGTTTGCTCACTCCACCTGTTAGCAGAACGTGGCGCTCAGCCATGCGCTGTCTCCTACGCATAGTACTCCCAGCCGGTCTCGACTGCAATTCGAAAATCGTCGATCAAAGTAAAAGTCTGAACAGCCTCGTTCGACGATTCACGTCTAAGAGCAAGAACGGCGTTACCAGTAAGTCGTCTCATGTCTCCAGTGTTCCAACCCCGGTGCTTCTCACTCAATGTATTCATAGGGATCTACTCGTCGAACCGTCGACCCTCCCTCCTGCGCAAGCAATCGCGCTCGACTCTCCCTTCCAGCGCGTTTTGTGCTGTCAAGGACCGGGTCTGTCAGCAGATGTGAATGTATTTGGACTGGCGTCTTATTCGACACTTGTTCCACTCTCCCGATACACCTGCCTTTCGGTTACCCACGAGCGACCTGACCCGTCCGCGTGGTGATCTTCTCGCCGTCGACCCTGACCTGCTTGTCCTCCCAATGCTATTGTGCTTGCTGCTCGACACAGGTGCATGCCGGGTAGAAGTGGCAGCGCTGCGGACGCTGGCCCAAAGACTCGGTGACGCTTCGCTGGGGAATCATGCCGGCTGCGACTGCGACGCAACGCAGCCTTGCAAGGTGTTTGGCACGCCGCGGCGGGCACCCCGTCACCTGCTGCAGTGGGCACATCTATGAGCGTCTGTCTGCTTGACGCTCATGATGCAGACACAGATTTGGTGCCTATCCCGTCGGCCCGGAGGGTGGTCACAAGCGTCGGGCATCGATGCACGTTGGCTGGGCGCGGAGATAGGGATGTGGGCCAGAAGTGCATACCTTCTGCGGGTGTCCCTAGGTACGCCGCTTTCATCCACGGGATCAGGAAATTGACTCAGGAGCGCACAGGGCAGATATCACCTATACTGGCATTCCTCGAGGTCGCGTCGCGGGCGACAATCTATTCGGGCCCTCTGTTGCCCTTTGTCTTCAAGAGTGCGCCTGTTGATCTTGTGGGCAGGTACATCAATGACGAGTGAAAGGGGACTTTCGGGGCCGTCCCTCGACACTCAGTACTCATTGCCTGCACCTCGCGCCTTCGCCGGCAATGATCCTCTGCCTCTTCCCTTCAAGACAGTGCACTTTTCTTTTATTATTGATCTGGCGCAACAGCAGTCTCGAGAGTAAGTACCTCCTCGTCCGCCTGGCTTCGCACATGGGCTGATGCTATTTTGGCCGCCATAGACACAATCCTCTACCGATGCACCGGCTTCTGTACCTCCCTCCATCGGCTGCCGTCAAGTCGGGGTGCATCCTCTGCCTTGCTTCTGCGAGTGTGTAGTCCGCCTTCACTTTAACCCCTACATTGACGACCGCAGGGATGTTTCCAGGTGGCATATGTCTGTCTCACATCGTACATCGTACTGCATCGATATCCTTTTTCCAGGTGGCATATGTCTGTCTCACATCGTACTGCATCGATGTCCTTGCATAGTCCGCGAGCACCACTGAGACCAGATCATCTATATCCAGTGAAATTCGACCTGCTGGGCCGAATGGCATTGCTCACCTCCTGCGACGTTCCAATATTGGCCCGTCAAATGGATAGCGCTGTTCAGAGCGGTCTCCGTCGTCTTCACTTGAATGAAGTCAGCTCGCGTCTCCTTCGCCACCACTCGTTCGCGCTGCCGTTACACCGATTCCCACCGTGCGATTTGGCGGGAAGTTGACGAAGAATACCCCTACTCGCGAGTCAATTGGCTGAGAATTGGCGGAGACGTTGTCTGTTTGGGGCTCGATGACGGTTTCTTGGAGGGATGTACGAAGCGCTGTATCATGGTTTTCAAGGTACGCCTTGAGCCGTTCGTTACCTTGCCGTGAAACACAGCTGACGGACACGGGTATCGTTTCAGAAACTGACACCCCGACTCCAATGGCGGTCTTACGCCGCAAGAAGGATCACGACACAGTGGCCGACGGTTCCCGGCGCCGTCGTGGTTATCGGTGCAACCACGCAGATCTTACTAGTAAATGTGTCGTGGCGGACCTGAGTGAGGGGTTTTTTTGCGGAAAGCCGAGTCGATTGCTCTCGCGGCCGAAGGTTCCCCTGGGACGGACGCTGTTTCATGACCAACGCCTCAACGCTACTGGCTTCCTACTTGACGTCCATGGCCGGAACCCCTTGCGCCCCAGTTCCTCCACGAGCCCCGGAAGCACCTTCCATTTCCGTAGTCTCTGTCCTCGTTGCGAACGGGTGTGCTGGCGATGAAGACCCTGCAGCGTTTATCGGTGCTGAGTTAAAGGATCTAGATTCATATCGAGTTGCGATTCCTGCGACCAACGGTACGATCCTGATTGTGTTTTTGCCATCGACCACGACTGACCAACGTGGAGATTATTTCAGGACGACGCTGTGTCGGAAATCCATCGCCAAGATTCTGGAAAGCATCCCTTTTTGCGTCCCACCTCGTTGTCTGACGCTCGTTTCTGAACTCGTTCCTTCCATGGAACACATGAGTCCGATTTTTTTTTTTGCGCTGATATAAGCGCGTGGGGCCAACGTGATCACGGATCACGTTTTCGCATCCTCTTGTAATTTAACAATGTGATATTCGTCTACGCAAATATTGCTTAGGTACAGGTACCTCGACGAACACTCTATGTTGTACTTGGAATTGCAGAGTATGTAGTTCTCATGTCACAAAAATCGCTTTTTACTATTTGTTATTCACATTCTGGATTTAATCTGGAAATGCAGCAGGTTATTCCCCTTTATAAGGCTGGTCCCATAAATTAGACGTAGAATACTGTATGTTGCTTGAGCAGGGGCTGGGTTCGTGTCGACACCTCACGCGCTTATATCAGCCAATGAATCACGCCCCAAACGAAAATTGGTGCTTCACGAACGTATGCAAAGCGCTATATGTTTCAAGTTGTTACTATCGATAATCGACGAATTTTCGGCGGCAGGTTCCTTGCTTTCGGTCCACGATTCACAGGATTCTAGGGTTCTCCCTGTTATGGAAGCCCACAATCCGCATTTCTAATCGGGGATTCATGGCAGGTATGAGTTCTTTCCTTTCGTCCCACAGCGTGCTGTTCAGGATCTCGATGCGCGGGCCCTATACCATCTGAACCCCAACTGTCACCGTGTGTCAAAAGACTCAACTTCTAAATTCATCAGAAGAATGCTATCGATGGATCGTGATATGTTATCGAGCTGTTGGCGAACTATCCATGCCCCAGCTATTTCTTGACTCTTCCCAAGTTGTTGAACCCACATACGCCAGAATAGTGCGGCCCGCATACATACGATATCATTGCCCAAATTTGAATATATTCATAAGGGAGTTTAAAGTGCGACGGGTATTCTGAGTCAACGTCGTTTGTGAATAAAATAATAGACTCCGCCCAGATATTCAATCCAGAAAAACATGGAAAATACCAAATTCAGAATCCCACCTAGTCGCAGCATTCTCAGGGTTCCTGCCCAGGCTAGTACGTGTTCATTTCCGCATGCCGGCGCTGTTACAGAAGC